TCCAACATTTTTGTATATTTTTATGTATTTATCATCCTCACATATCTAGTTAAGGGAGAGACTTACAGTAGGCTATAACAGCTTTGATAAAAAAAATTTGGGCTTTATTTTAGTGTCACAACTCACAGCTGATGTCAGTTGATGAGGAAAATTCTACATGAATGTTTAAAAGTCTGGCTCCAGATAGGAGTGAAGGACATGCTCTCTGCGTACGCTCGGAGTTTATCCTCTTTCCTTTTAAGGCTTTTCTGAAATTCGCTTTTGATTTCGAAACCGGAACTGAAACTTCAGACTAAGGCAGTGGAGTTCGATAGATTGTTCGGTTATGCTAGAGTTCGGTTTGGTTCGGTTGTTTCCTGATAGATCAAGCTAAGTCAAGTTAGTTCAGGAAATGTTGGGGTTAGGTTAAGTTAGGTTAGTTTCGACTGTACTTGGGTTAGGTTAGCTGAGATTTCGGTTATGTTAGCTTTCGGGACCGGCTTTAAGTGACTCCCCTAGGTCAGTGTCAGTCACTAAAAGAAACGATTGCAATGTCAGGTGATTTTTCTTAACCCTTGAGGAAACGACTCGACCAGTTAAAGAATACAAACTCAATATTCAAGCATATTTAATTCCTGCAAGCAAAATGATCGAAACCAAATTCATTGGGACTTAATACATATATTTTTTTTATTTTCACTCAAGAAGACGAACACATAATAGCAACTTTACCTATTTTGTGTTATTTGAAACTTAAACTATTACTTTTGTTTATCTCTTTTATCGAAAATCATGTGTATATAATTCTCAGGATTGTGACTTAACTTTTTTTTTTACCCATGGTAGTTTGTAAGTAAACTTGTAAACTTGATTGCTCTCTCTCTCTCTCTCTCTCTCTCTCTCTCTCTCTCTCTCTCTCTCCATCTTCATCTGTTCCACCATTTCTGTGTCTCACCATCTAAGTGTATATCCATCTTTCTCTGTCTCTGTTATTCTCCGTATCTTCATTTCACTATTTTACTCTATCTCTCTTTCTCTCCACCCTACTATCTCACCACAATCTGCATTTTCCTTTCGCTTTTCTCACCACATCTGTCTCTTTATCTCTGTTTTTGTTTTACCTCCTTCCATTGTCTCGCTAAGCTACACTGAGAGACTATTTCAAGGACACTGACTTTGTTTCCGAGACATTTAGTATATTGGGTAGGAAGTCCCACCTAGTTTAATTATCTCTCTAATGTAATAAATAGTCACCATTCCTTCTATATTTATATATCTATATGTACCTATTCATGTACCTATGTATGTATGTATGTATGTATGTATGTATGTATGTATGGAGGTTGTGTGTTCCCCTGTACTTCACCCACAATTAACATTTCGTGCAATTGTCTGCAAAAGAATATTCCTTTTATAATTATATAATATAAAACTGTGGGATTGTCTAGTCAGGTGAGGTAGTGAGCGGCTCCATCTTAATTCAGGTGTAAAGACTGTGTGAAATAACCATTAGGCTGTGATGGTCTTATTTTACATTGAATGCGTCGAAGGTTAAACTTTTGTATGACGATTATAATGTATATCTATCTAGCTATCTATCTATCTATATATCTATCTATATATCTATCTATCTAACTGTTCATTAATTAGATCCTCAACCTTGAACACTATTAAGATATAATTACATAACAAAAGACACATGGACTATGCGTAACAAAAACTGGATCAGAAACTCTCAATAAAACAGACTTAATTCAGAGACGTTTACCAGAGAAGGATTAATATCAGTACTCTGGGCTCGGGAGGAAGACAGAGCAGTTCCTCATAGTGAATTCCATATTAGATTGAACTGGGAATTGACTCTCCTTGGGTGCGTCTATCTAGCTGTTCCCTCAGACGTCGTGTGTGTTCAGAGAGACGGAACGTGAACAGGATGTGTTTATTTATATGTATGTCTGTATGGTTGTGTTTATATTGATACATATTACATACACAGACACATGGCTGGAATCAAGAACCAAAACAGGCCCTCGTGTTCAACCATATGAGATCACCCATAAACCAGTTGACACTACTTGCTCTCTCCTCCATTTATCCTTCACGCGTTCTGCTGCTTCCTTACCGCCCGTCCTCCTCTCTCCCAGTATTTTCTTTCCCCTAATCGTCTTCGTCTTACTTTCCACTAACTCATCTTTGAACTATAAACACCAAAGAAGGTTGTACCGAACATTAAGAGGAATAAAAAACTCCGCTATGATTTATTGTTTGTATAATCGTAACACAATTCATTAGATTTATTGGGTAATGAAAACGAGTAATGTAATTTCTAACTTTTTTTTTTATTACGAAGCAAATTCTTCTCTGCATTTAGGCTTGGTACGCTAGTTTATACAATATTTCAGTACAATGATGACAAACTCACCATCACAACCTAGTTACATTTCAAGGTCACACACGTATTGCCAAATGTGTACAACTTTTCATTTGTACAACGAGTAAACAGTAATTAACGAAGTATACAAGAATATCATGTGAATAAATGTGTATTAAGTTTATATCTGACACTAAACTACACATCACGTCGTAAAGGCAGTGTTTTATACTAAGATAAATCAACACACAATATATTATACACTACTCTCCGTAAACCCTCACAAAACTGGCTCCTTATCTCCTCGGTTTCCATACACTCTAGTATGAGTTTACACACTAATAACTGGAATTATTTTTTGTCTATATGCAAACACGCTAATGAAGATCGCGTTTTGAATTTGGTTCTTTGACGTCATGTATGAACGATCACGGTGTGTGTATCTCCCAGGCAGTGAGAGATTTATTATTTACTGTGACTCAACAGACGTGATATAAGCCAAGTCATGGAAGATTATACCTCTCATGAAAATAGCTATATACCCAAGGGATATTCCACCTCTGGAGGCCTTCTCTTAGCCTCTACCTGTCCACCAAAGACAAAACCATAGATCTATCAGTCTGTTTCTACCTATGACGTGAATATAATAATACTGCTATAATATAAAGAATGCTGAACAGGAAGTTCTTTTTGTATACGCTGTGGTATTTGTTATTTATATCTTTTACAAATGGAAAACTATTCTAGGCAAGGATGAGATAGACAAAAAGATAATCCACTAATTTTGTGGATTTATCTGTACATCTTTAAGTTAATGAAGACTTTCTAAATTAACCATTTAAACATGTGACTTTACATGTTTCGTACAGTATAATATTATAGTCCATGTGTGTGTGTGTGTGTGTGTGTGTGTGTGTGTGTGTTTTATAGGAACGCGTAATCCATACCAAGAACCTTAATAATAATCGTCTATCACTTACAAAACGTTTGAAAACCACACACACACACACACACACACACACACACACACACACACACACACACACTGCAGGTAACCTTAAAATGAAATGTAATTTTTTTTAAGGATTTTGGTCACATACAATATAAGGTGTTTCCATGTCTTCATCCATCACCTCCTAACTGTGCATATTAAATTACGAGAGTTTATATTCATTATTTTCTAAGACTATAAACATTGTACATATGGATGATGTTATACACAGAATCTCTACATCATTAAAGAATATAATAAACAAGAACAAGAATATAACGTTGTATGCGTTAAACTAAGCTTATAAAATATCCTGCAAAAGTGAGAAGCTTATCGTTCAGGTAACCATACATGGGTAATTTCTGCCCGACTAACTCAACCAAAGATAATACTAGAATGCGTTTTTTTTTCTTCTATGGCAATTATTAGTAACAACCTTTATTTCATCACTATTAAGTCATAACACACGACTGACAGCACTGTATATCCAACATTCCCTAAATAACAGTTCATATTCCATGGCAGCTCCCTCACTCAACGTAATGGAGGTGTATGGTGGTGTAGTGGTTATGTCTGTTGTAGTAACGGGGACGATGTGGGTTTGGTGAGACGTTGATGAGGGGGGTGGGATAATTGGTGGACTGATGAGAGGAGTCAGGGAAGATAATGCAAATGAAAATGGCATAAGTTAAGACAATTGAGGGTTATTGCCAGGGCTTAGAGAGGAAACAACAGACATTTGAAACGAGAGGAAAGTTGAGGTAAAAGGAGAGCGAGAGAGATGAGAGTCATTGTGAAATTTCTATGACTATTTAACATACGTAAAGAGTGTTGTCTGGGATACCCGTACTAAGAGGGCAGTGTAGCGGTATGAACTAAAGGAAAACATTCAGCAGTTCACCTGAAGGAAAAATTTAATGATTTATGGAACAGAATAGAATGCACGTACACACCCGTATGTAATTATTTACTGCTGCTTTTTTGTAACACTTTCCTGTCTCATCTGATTTTGATTCTCACTTAAATTGTTTTTCTTCAATTGTTTATTCGTTCTCTCAAGCCTTGTCCAGGCCTACCAAATTGCGTCAGGGATCAAGAGCAGACAAGATACTCCCATCATTGAGTCACTCATACTGCTGTAACAGATGTGTTCTACTATGGCGCTTCTCTTGAATAAAAAGGTTGTTCTAAACATCTTACCTCGTTTGTCTTTGTTGCCTCACACAACCTAACAGCGCCCATCCTCAGCATGTCCTGTTATCAAACACTAAAATATGACCTGAACTTGTCTACGACTATAATGAACGCTCTCACATTTGTTAAAAAAATTCAAGTTCAAGAACCATCAAATAAAGGTTTAGACAGTTTCCGTAAAGAAATTCAGTATCGTATCACCCTAACACCAGCACAGGTGAATAGAAATTTTACTATAGGTAATAGGTACAATAAATTACTAATAATCAGTGGTAAGATAACAATTATTGCATTTCAGAAGTTAATATTAAGACACAAAATCAATAAGAAAAATAAAAGACCTTATGCTAAATGCAAATATATATATATATATATATATATATATATATATATATATATATATATATATATATATATATATATATATATATATATATATATATATATATATGAAAGAATATGATGGCAGTGGTAATAATAATTATACTAAAACTAATATATTGATATGTATATTATTGTGCAGGTGATTCCAGAGTAAAATTAATTTCTTAAGGGAGTGATCACGGTGTGTTGTCGCTCTCTTAACATCCTCGTACCAGTCAGGTATCTTCTTCACAGTTCTCGTAGCATCTGGTTATACACGTATCTTTGGATTTACATGTGTCTTTATCGTTACCACCAACACAAAGTAAAACAGACTAACGCTACCCTACAGCATAGTGAGGTACAGTAGCTCACGTCGACCAACTCTGACTCCTCTCCTCATCACAACCTGGCTTCACTTCTCAGGTACCCATCCGTGAGAGGCTGTCCGCCACTCACTCTAGTCTAAACCTACAGAGAATTAACAAATGGCAGTCCTTGTACTTATGGAATATGGTGCATTGTGAGGGGGGGGGTGAGGTATCTTGGATCTGAAACCAGTACCAGTATGAGCAATCAGTAACATCTGGCTTTCTCGTCCATAAGGCAAAAATATAGATATGGAAGGTACGCCAGGCGAAGGGTTTGTCCGCTTACTGCTTTCAATAGTGTTTTCTTATGATAAGGGACTTGAGCTTAAGGTATAAAGAGGAAAAAATATATACTTTCGATTTCAACTGGTTCGTTAATACCTGTGGGAACAAGAGGCTCCCACACTAAATCGTAAAATTATCGCTTGTATTGCCATATGATCAAAGCTCTAAGCTATTAGAGTAAATCAGTATTCAATGAATGGAAAAAAAAATATGTATACATTTTGAAAAGGCCGAATACTGTAAACAAACAGGAAACTTACCCAGAGACGCTAAACGTGTACAATTCTCCTACCAAATTTATGTATATTGTCATAATATATACCTCAATAAATAAACATTACAGTGGATTCAGTGAACAAACAAAAAGACATCCTTGTTAAGGGAACATAATGTGGTTTAAATTGTTTAAGATTCCTATATAACGAAACAAATTACACCAAACTTATTTTTGTACTTATATATGTTTTTTTTAATTACTTTCAAGAGAGTGTGGACAATAAATAATACAGATGAATAGATAATTCCGTCATTCAGGAAGTTTACTGAGTTTTACCATCGTGACTTCGTGTTGACGACTGAGGCGTTGGTGCGCCTTTGTTTCCACCTGTGGCAATAACGCCGGGTACATCAACACGTGTACTCAAAATGAACCCTGCACGAGCGTCAACAAGGTTCTATTAGTTGAGAATCACACACACACACACACACTCTCAATGCGTTTGTTTCGACACTCTATTACCTCACTAATGTATCTTAACCGGTCAATAACAATACTGCTTCCTCTTCTCTCAGCACTTGATAATGTTTCTCTTTTATCTCAGTAAGTAAATTCGCTATTCATTCTGGGCACTCAGTAATTTCACTGAATTATCACAGTGAAGCTACGCACATACACACACTTCTTATGCCCTTTGTACTTACACAGACTTACTAAGCCCGCTCGTAGGTTTCACATTGGTTACAGTATGTAGATAAAACTGGAACGTACAGTCAACTACTAAAGTTCGTTCGCCTCTCCCTCTGAACCACGAACCCCAAGATTCAGACTCGAAAACCCAAAGCACTACGCTGATACATTATTCTGTCCATAAATGCTTCGGATTCAAGTGTCTGAATTTCGGGGTTCGTAGGTTGAGGGGGAGAGACTGTACACAGGGCGGAACAAGACAAGAATGAAACCTCCAGGAAACAAAAGTCGAATCTCCTCACCAAAATTTTTTCCGAGACCCGTAAGATAAATTGCACAAATAAGTCCACGAAAGCATACATATAATTTTTTTTTTGTTTAAGACTAGATCGACATTAGTCACACTAGCCGCTAGCCATAAACGATAACTTGCTAACACTAGTTAAAGATAAACATTTGCCTATTTGATTTGTCATTTAATTATAGACATTACCAAACACGCCACTACCAACACTTTTGTTTTTATGATAGTGTGATATAAGTCTTGCTAACTATCTAATGTCCACTAAACACGTAAAACTTAGTAATATGTGTACAATTTAAGTCTATTTATGTTAAAATTCATGCTTTAGTGTATTACAACTTCAGTATCACACTCTCTCTTAACGCCACACCTCCTCTATCATATCACAGCACTTGCAGTTGATTTAGGAACCATCACGATAAAGTACAATTTACTCGTGTGTTCATCTTTCCTCCAACGTGTGAACTAAATCCTTCCCTTCTTCTCGCTAGCAGTGACAATATCATTTTATGCTTCGCTCCCACCTTTGTTGGACAGTTTTCTTTGTTTTCCCGGTAGCAATGAAAATCATCATACCTTCTTTTTCTGCGTCACGTGTAAGTCACGATTTTTTTTACTCTTTAAACCAACACGTTTAATGGAGTTTAGTTACACGACAAAGAACGAACTGAAGCACCTGCGATATTCTTATAATGGAAAAAATATTATTTTCAAACTTTATGACACAAGATTATCCCAGGAAGGAAGTTTCTTCATAAAAGCACTTGATCATTTATAAACTCTCAGTTCCCTGTTACACCTCCGATAAGTTGTACATCCAGAGGCCAGCGCAAGTTCCATTAAGCCTTATAGTATGTGGGTTTGTTCTCAGTATTACGGAGGGCTGGTGGACCCAGGCGGAGACGAACAGTCTGCCAGAACAGCTTTTTAGGGTCTCCTACACACACAACTTGCATACACCTGCACAAAGACTGACACACCTGTTGAATAAAAGTAACAATTGCTGTTTATTTTCTTTAAGGTTCTAATTCAGGTGATGTATCTGAAATTATTGTCAGTTGTCCTACTGTTCAAGTCTCCGTGTAAAGCCTAATGTACATAAATTCATTCTCAGAAATATATGAATTACCATTTTTCTTTCTCGAAACACAATAAATTTTAATAGAACGTGTTTGCTAATCACAGACACTTGAATGAATACTAAAGAAGGAATGAGCTGTGCCCTTACCATGCCTTGACGGGTGTCCTTGTTGCAGGAGGGTAGGATGAAAGGAGTTATGGAACACGGAGATCCGGGGTCCTGCATTCCGTATTCTTCCGAGTAAATGACGGGGTCTCTTGTCTCTATCTTCTTGTCCTTGTCGTCCTCCAAATCCTCCCTGGAGGCTGCATTGCTTCCAGTGATCATGTTCGACAGTCGCTGGCTCTTCGGGGAACTCGACCATGCTGTTTCAATTTTAATCTCAGGAATGGTCAGCTTCATCTCAGAAGGGTTAGTGTTTTTCCTCTCCAACTTGAAGTATTCCTCGTCCAGCTGGTTCTCCTGTTCCTCTACCAACTGCCAGCCACACACAGATGGCACTCGCACCTTCACCACCACCTTCAGAATCCCAAGCCAGGAATTATTGGTTGGTGGTCCACCCTGTACACTCACCTCCTGTTGAGATGAAGCAGTAAGTCGCTGTATCCCTTGACAGATCATGCCTCCAAAAGGGGTTATATGAGTGTTGAGAAATTGAACAATACGCAATCTACTTCATTACTATTTATTAATCGATTTATTTTTTAATTTCTCGTAAAAATTGCTTTAACTCCAATAATAAATTGAATTAAAAACAAACATTACAAATTGTTTTAAGATACCTTCCAGTTATTACATCTCAAGATAATCAATAACGTTTCTTTAGATAATAAAATGACTGACTTACAAACGGCTAAATTTCATGCAAGAGATTTGTTTTTTGTTTATTCCAGGTCATTTGTAGGACCTTGATTGAACGTTTAAAAGGTGGTGTATAACCTAGACTTTATAGCCTCTTGTTTCATCGGGTGAGTCAGTCACTCTACCATCTATTATACTTTGATACATTTAAATAACTCCACGGAATACTTATTTGCCAAATTGCCTCTATCAGAAGCTGATAATATAACGTTAAGTGATATTATTATTATTATTATTATTATTATTATTATTATTATTATTATTATTATTATTATAATTATTATTATTATTATTATTATAACTATTTCAGTGGGAAAATATATATTTGATGTGTTATGTTAGAGTTTAAAATGTGTTCATTATAGACGCGAAACAAAAAATCAACAGAAGTACTTTGGCATCTGTTACATGATGATCATTCAAAGATGTTAATTAAGCAGCCATTACTGGAGGACTGTGACTGTGAGAGTAATGAAAGAGAATTCGGGTTAAAACGGGTGGTGATAACTTCAGACCAGGGTGGAGCTATAAGAAAAAAGTGGTGTCAGACTTCACCACGATGAAGAAGGATTTACGAAAAGTGTTTACATAAAAATTTAACAATAAATCAGTAATTTACAAAAATGCTGGGAGAGGGGAGGTGGAGACGTCTTCCGAAGCCTCCCTCCTTAACCCTGTGAGGTCATACCTGAAGCAGGAGAGCGAGGATGCGTGCGGGGGTGGTGAGAGCAGCGTGGATGCCACTGTAGGTGGCCCAGGTGGCCCAGGGGCTGGTCAGTAGACAAGGCGTCACCACAACCACCATACGACGACACCGCGAGATGGCGTTCAGGATGGAGTCACCCACATCTGCAGGAGGTACAGTTTATGGGATAAACAGGTGTGAAGACCAGCACAGAACACAGACTGAAGAAAAAATAGTTAAAAAAACATAACCTGTGCAAAGAACTAGGAAAGAGAAGGCAATAAGTAGAGACCAACATTTGTAGAAAACAGGTGTAGTAAGCAACAGATGTCGAGAAACTCACGGTCGCCGCCGCACATGTCCCGCTGCGGAAGGAAGCAGGTGTAGCCGTAGGTGTCCCCCAGCGCTGGCAGCAGCACCGTCCACACCCAGCGGGAAGCTGAGTCTCCATGAATCACCATCACATCGTACTGGTACCCATCTGTGAGGAGGAAGACCCGCATGAGAGGAAACAAATATATCTTATGGTCATAAAATTTAGAGAAATAACGTGAAAAATAAGCGGAGAAGAAACAGCGTCGTTGAAGACAGACGGATGTATCAGAACTGAATATAAAAATTAATATTGTTTTGTTTACCGATATACAGTATTTGTGATGCTCAATGCTCTTGTTCTAACTCTGACAGTAGACGATGGGAGTACGTTGGCTGTTTCTCGCTACTCTTTTAGATGTCCGAAAGAATGTTTACGTTGGGACATCATCTCATTTCTCCGTTTTACCATCAAGGTCTATGATGCGCATTATTGTGTAGTGATCATTCCTGGAAATTATTTGAGGGGATGCAAAAACAATTAATTTCCTAAAATGTGAAAAAAGAGGAAGAATATTTTGATTTTCTTAACACATAGGTACTGTACAACGCTATCACCTGCATCTAACGTTAGGTAGATCACAGATAAGACGTCATTGTCTGTATAACACGTCAACACACAGGTAAGCCGCTATTACCTGTATAACACGTCAACACACAGGCAAGATGCAATTACCTGTATAACACGTCAACACACAGGTAAGACTTGTTTACCAGAGCTTTCAATCCTACTGAAAAACATCCGTTATGCAGTCACGTTCAGTGGCATGTGACACTTCCTGAGCACGAACAGGTGACACAAACACTCGGGTAACTATTTATACCTAAACTCACTACGTAGTACTTTAATTGGTACTGTGACCTTGAAGACCAAACAGTGATGGGTCACACACGGCTGCAGGTCGAATGAACCCGAGTCCTTAATTCAAGATTATTAGGAATCCGGCTCTTTTGAGCAGTCAACGACTGCACACCACACACACACACAGACATGTTCCTCCTCACAACCACAGCCTTGAGACTCCCGTTACCTTTGATCTTGGCGACGGCGTTTCTTTGGCAGCAGTAAAGCGACAGCTGGAGCCTCACGCGGTACAATATACACGACACTACTGCCAGCAATGCTGCGATGGACACCGTCGTCACTACTGCCAACTTGTACTGCTGCATCAAGAGGTCCATCTCCGGTACTACCACGAGGAGGAAGGGTGATAATTTGAATGAACAGGTGCATCTATTTCATATTTTTATCTCAATCTTATAGTTACTTCTAAAATGCTGTTTTTATTTACATGTTCACCGTTCAGTATAGTTTTCAAAACTTCTGCATAAAATAAAAAGGTATCTTATTGGAAACTTGAGTCATACCCTGCTATTGTTCTTATGTTTACATACCAAATACAAGTGCAATGGTTTAGGTTGTGTCCTGCACTTTAAGTCTTGACATTGAAGCACTGTGACTCTACGATAAGGTTAATCGTCCCCTAATCTGGGGTTCACATGAGCTTACCTCCATTGATGAGTACAACACTGAGAAGCACTGCGCTGTGGAGGGTGGTGATGGAGCAGTTGTAGGTGCCGAAGTGTACCTTCTCCACGAAACTGATATTCATGTACCCCTTCAACGTCCCAGTCCTGATCAAGGAAAAAAGAGAGAGAGAGAGAGAGAGAGAGAGAGAGAGTTAATACTATCCACATCATATAAATACCTTAAATATATATCGGAGAAACACTTATAAATATTGGTTTCATCACCTGATTACTATAAGTAAAATATTTCAAATGAAACGATATTATCATTTGGAAGTCTTACAGTGATCATGTTAGGAGTGAGTTATAAAATGTCACGTATTTACCTAATAAAACATAATCGAAGGCTTCAACCACAATCTTATTCGCTCTAGCTAGCCAAGAATTGTTCTCTGGTGTAATTTTTTTTTTCGTTTATTAAAAGATCAGTAATGAACGTAGTTGATGACTAAAAGTTGTTTGTTGCATAAAGTAAGAGTTAGTGAGAGGTTCTCAATAATGCTGACCGTTGAAGCACCTACAAGGACCACAACAACAACAACAACAACAACAACAACAACAACAACAACAATAACAACAACAACAACAACAACAAACTGTTTATAATTTTTCTCCGGTGTTACAAATATAGTAAATTATAGGCCTATTGTCACAATACGTCACTGTAAAGCAGCTTTTATAGTTTATCAAATGCAAATACATCCATCATCACCATAGACATAAAGTGCCGCACATTTTCGGCACTCTCAGGAGCTGCCAGGGATTACCTCTAACCCCTCCCCCTCCCCACCAAGGAACTAGTGCAAGGATTGTTGCTCATCTCACCACAAGTAACATATAGTGACAATTTCAACTCGAAAAGAATGGTAAGTGTTGACAGTGGAAACACCAGTGAGATAGACACCAGATTTACGAAGGCCAGGAGGAGACTCGGCCTGAACGTATTAACACCCAAGTGCCAAACACTGACCCTTATGAGACGACCCTCGCCGACACCACGTGGACTGAGACCATTCAGCTGTACAACACCACAGCTGCACCAGGGAGGCTGACAACACCCTGTGATCGTTCACCTGTACAACACCACAGCTGCATCGGGGAGGCTGACAACACCCGGTGATCGTTCACCTGTACAACACCACAGCTGCATCAGGGAGGCTGACAACACCCGGTGATCGTTCACCTGTACAACACCACAGCTGCACCAGGGAGGCTGACAACACCCCGTGATCGTTCACCTGTACAACACCACAGCTGCACCAGGGAGGCTGACAACACCCGGTGATCGTTCACCTGTACAACACCACAGCTGCACCAGGGAGGCTGACAACACCCTGTGATCGTTCACCTGTACAACACCACAGCTGCACCAGGAGGCTGACAACACCCGGTGATCGTCCACCAGTACAACACCACAGCTGCACCAGGGAGGCTGACAACACCCGTGATCGTCCACCAGTACAACACCACAGCTGCACCAGGGAGGCTGACAAGGTGATCTAACAACACCACAGACCAGCTCCTTTGAGGAGGCCTGACCCACACCCGGTGCATCGTGTTAAGGACCACCCACATAACTGTTAGGCTGACAATACCCGGGTGATCGTTCACCGCACAACACCACAGCTGCAATTTTACTCCAACAGCCACAATTATTTTATCGTTACATAACACCACAGCTGCACCAGGATTATGAAAACACCCGGTGATCGTTCACCTGTACAACACCACAGCTGCACCAGGGAGGCTACACACCCGGTGATCGTCACCTCCTATACAACACCACAGCTGCAGTGGAGGAGGCTTACATTTCCGGTGATCGTCCACCAGTACAACACCACAGCTGCACCAGGGAGGCTGACAACACCCGGTGATCGTTCACCTGTACAACACCACAGCTGCACCAGGGAGGCTGACAACACCCGGTGATCGTTCACCTGTACAACACCACAGCTGCACCAGGGAGGCTGACAACACCCTGTGATCGTTCACCTGTACAACACCACAGCTGCACCAGGGAGGCTGACAACACCCGGTGATCGTCCACCAGTACAACACCACAGCTGCACCAGGGAGGCTGACAACACCTTGTGATCGTCCACCAGTACAACACCACAGCTGCATCAAGGGCTAAGACCAGCTCCTTTCCAACCACAGTTAAAAGTATCAGACTCTAGTTAACCTGTGTGTTTACCACATGGTTCCTTCTGTTTTATATTAAACGCATATGTTAAATGACCTATTCCTCTATAACTCCTTATTAATTCAATAATTTCTGTCGATTGTGCATTTACAACCCATGGTAGCAATTTTATCTCCATAAGCCATTAATTATTATTATTATTATTATTATTATTATTTTTGTTTACTATTATCGAAAGTGGCGCAAGAGGTTGGAGCTCATATATATACTTAGATACGTGTATTAAAACGTATACTATATTTGCGTTTCGTTTCATATGATGAATTTTCTTTTTCGTGTCTGAAATATTACATTTTTCTTTAATAAAATTGGCAAGAGTTAGTGTTATTATTCTCCGTAATATTAATGTGTATTTGTTATTTAGTTCTAATTAACTGCGTTAGAATTACCAGTAGAATTTTACTGGCCACATTGACCTGATTAATATATGCTCGCATATATATATATATATATATATATATATATATATATATATATATATATATATATATATATATATATATATATATATATATATATATATATATATATATATATATATATATTGTCACTGATAACCAACTAATGCGTTTCCTATAAATAATCCAAACAATACTTACTCTTCATAGACCTGAGAGCAGGTGACATTGGGCAGCATTTTCGCAAAGGTGTAGACGGTGCCGTTGGGGAGCAGTTTAGTCCAGGTGACCTTTGGTGGTAACCCCCCATCAGCTTGGATACCAACAAAGGCCTCACAGAAGAAGCTCACCTTCGAACCAACTGTGTTCGTCACATTCCCGGACGTCTGCGGTTTCAGGGGTTTATCGCGGACCTCTGGGATTCCTGATAGGAGATAACAAGATTAATGGTGACTTAATTGGAGTTTGAACATCAATTTATAGTGGTACAGTCAGGTCTCGATTTATATCTTCGGTTATTCTCAAGGTGTTTAAGAATTTGTTCATGAAAATTCAAAGAGTAACATACTGAGGGAATGATAGAGAGAAAGTAAAGAGAGAATGACTCACGCTCAACAACCAACTCCATAGTTTTGGTGACAATGGTGCCGTTGGAAGAGGTGACGGTGCAGGTGTAGTTGCCTTCGTCAGAGCGTTTAATTTTAAATGATTCTAAGGCCTCCTTCCCACAGGAATGCTTCTGGAACGAGCTGGTCTCCTGCCATGGGTAAGTCTTTCCCTTGAACTTCCTGAGTTAGTAAAGAGAAGAGTAAATCAAGGTTGCAAATGTTATTGATGTATAAATGATGTATATCTCTCGACTAAATCATATAATTTCATATTTTTAAGAAACTGGCACCTGAGGGAGGAAGGAGGGAAGGAGAGGGAAAACACTGAAGTTAAGTTAACATCACAGCCAACCCAAAACGTTAGCCACATGATGGGCTCCTCAAGTGTACTTGCTTAAACATTTTTACACTATATTTTACTAATAACCTTAAGTACCTGCACAGTTAATGAAAACAAAATTAATTGTAACTGTTACAGTAAACTGTAGACAATACCCACCAGGTGACAGTGGCATCGGGGTCTGAGTATCCAAGGAACCATTCCACACAACAGTTGATCTCACCCCCCTTAGAAACCTTGAAGGCATCGTCGGGAAAAGGCACCTGCATCGCCTTCGGCCTCTTCTCCTGACACTTGCATGTTAACTGGTTGCTGGAAGTGTGGCGAAAGAGAAGTTTAATGAATTGAAGGAATATTGGTGGTGGGGTGAGTTAAGAGAGTGAGATAGGAGAGATGAGAGACGGTGAGGAAGTGGGTATGGTGGGAGGAGGCAAGTAGCTGGGGAATAGAAGGAGCAGTGGTGGAGAAGATGAGGTAGTGGCGAGGGAGTTGAGGGATGAGAGAAAGGTGAGGTAGGTGAGGTTGAGGTGAGAAAAGTGAGGGAAGGAAAGCAGTGATGGAAGGTGGTGAGGGAGAGGAGTGTGAGGTGGATAAGGAAGATGAAGGATAGTTTGGACGAGGCGCGAGAGAGATAGTGCCGCCAAGAGATACCTGATGAGTGACAGAACGTGATTAACCCTTCGGGAAACAATTGACAGAGAGGTGGAGAAGCATCTGGTGGAGGGCTGTAGAGAGAGAGAGTGAACCCTTACAATAAGTTGTTGCCGCATGTCCCTCTTGAATAATAGTAATTGGATCACTAAAAACAAAGACAAATGTTGTACGTGGGTCATAGATATAACTCAACCAACACATTCCTTACGACTGAGGAGAACGAATACAATGATTCTTCAAGGGTGATCCACTGACATTTCCATTGACTCACTATCACGAAAATGAGGGAGACGAAAAAGATCTCTCAAGAAACTGACGTCAGTGGAGTGTTTACCATAGTGAGAGGAAACAGTGATAGACGTCTTGAAGGGATGTTTAGTTCCTCGTTCTAATAGATGATGTCGGAAGGGGAAGGACTTTGAAAGGGGCAGAAGAGGCAAGATAAATTGGAGTCGGAAATCTATCCAATGAGCGAGTGATGGTGAACGTCAAGAAGGTGGAGGGGGGAGGGGGGGGGAGGGTCTTTTAACGAATTCTCTGTAGATGAAATAAGTTCTCGTTCTGACACCGTGAATCTGAATCTTCCTGTATTCATTTTTCTTTTCATCTTTCATAACAATACATAATTACTCTGTTGGTTCAAATGATAAAAGACTATGAATACTTTATATATTACTTTAGTTTAGGTATATTTTCCATTAATGTTCAAATGATATACCTCGGAATCGCACTTTAAATAATTTCAGGATTTGTGCGTAAAAGAAGCAATATAGCTTAAAGCGGAACATAGAAGCATTTGATGATTTAAGAGTATTACCCTATAAAAAAAAATGGCAATCACGGGTATAAGCCTTTGTTGAAATCGAAATGTTTTACTTAAAGAAAATATCATAAGTAATAACAAAAACTTCTAATCAATATAATTTTGGCATTGAGTTGGTAACAGATTACAAAGTTTAGGTTAGGTTAGGTTAGGTTAGGTTAGGTTAGGTTAGGTTAGATTAGGTTAGGTTAGGTTAGGTTAGGTTAGGTTAGGTTAGGTTAGGTTATGTTAGTTTTGATTACCGTGTTTATTATCTCTTCAAGTCAGGAAGTGTAAAAGAAACCAGTCTGAGTGCTAGCAAGAACCACCTTACCTCGCTTCCTGCTGCAGGGTGCCAGGGAGGAGGAACATCAGCAATAAGAACAACAGCAGCAATTCTTGAGACAGCAGACGACCAACGCCCTGCTCCTTCATGGTGTCGGCAGGGAAGTCTCTCACTCTACGAATGAAATGTGTTTAAGTGAATCATTAGTGACCTTATATAGAAAAATTGAGAGAGAGAGAGAGAGAGAGAGAGAGAGAGAGAGAGAGAGAGAGAGAGAGAGAGAGAGAGAGAGAGAGAGACCTACCTCCACATGGTACAAAACTCCTTACGACACACCAATGAGAGAAAAATCTTGAACTATATCTGGAAAATTAAACAGCTGAAGCACCTGCCAGACACAGTGATAAACCACACAGGATTAAGTCGTTTATATTCCGACGAAGAGAAATGAAGAAAGGTGATTGTGAGTTAAGTTGTAACTCTAGTGTGGATCAAAGATATATATATATATATATATATATATATATATATATATATATATATATATATATATATATATATATATATATATATATATATATATATATATATGGGTATGTTGAAGTGTATCATTAATCAGAGGTATATTAAATGTTATTAATACTCAGATAAACAAGGGGCTGAGAGGAGTATGATGGATGAGGGGATCGAGCGAGGTAATGAGGGGTCGAGGGAGGTGGATGAGGGGTCGAGGGAGGTGGATGAGGGGTCGAGGAGGTGGATGAGGGGTCGAGGGAGGTGAGGGGTCGAGGGAGGTGAGGGGTCGATGAGGGGTCGAGGGAGGTGGATGAGGGGTCGAGGAGGTGGATGAGGGGTCGAGGGAGATGGATGAGGGGTCGAGGAGGTGGGTGAGGCTCCGTAATGAGGAGGATGAAGGCTCAAAGAAGATGAGAGGTGAGTGTGAGGAAGATGAAGGGAGGGATGATGGGGTACAAGTGTGAGGGATGAAGGGATGAGGGAGTTAAGGGATGGTGCTGTTTGGTTTGTGAGGAAGGGGGAGGGACAATGGAGGATGATGATGACGTAGGTGTAAAATGGGATGACTGGGGGAAATGGAACAACATGAGTGAGAGAGATGAATAAACGAGGTGAAAAGGGTGATGGAACGATATATAGGGAGGGATAAATACACAGGCAAAGGAAGATTATGACAGTATAATACACAACCAATAGATGAACAATAAATGCCAATTAGATGTTGGAATTTATTAAAAATTTCCACGAAATCCCAAATTGTGTAATTTTAAGGGATTTAATTCACTGTGAATGATCCTGGGTTATACTGAAACTCACCAGTGTTTTGCCGAGAGACGAATTGGAATCAAACGAGAGCAAAACAAAAAGTATATGCGATCAAAAGACAAAATATTCTTAATGGTAGACGTATTAATCGATAACCGCTTCAATAAACAGTGTCTGTAAGCTCTTACCTTTAATAACAACTGAATGCGCCAGCGAGAATCTACCAACTGAGGAATCTTTTATGTTGTTGATGCTCTTTTGTTCACGCCATTGGGTAATGGGTTTCCGGTTGGGCATTCCAGTCCTATGGAAAATACCGACTTATTTGAAGGAATTCCGGGAAGGAATACAGAGAACAATTGTTTATGACCTGCAGGACATGGTAAACACGCTGGGAAGCTTACACAGAGAGAATAAGTAAACTGGAAATATTAGACTCTATAGTTTATCATCGAGGAGAGTTTATATTCTAACCACCTTTATGATTCACGAAAAACAAAACTTCTAAAAATCTGTCAAATAATTCTTTGTTACATAAAACATTAAGTTCGAGGACTCCACGTTCACGGAACTGACTCATGAAACTGTTCTTCCAGTATGCCATAAAATAAGAATGGAGGATACAATAAGGTTGTGGATAATTAAGATGGTGATTATATATGTATGTATATTTATATGGAATTACCAACAGTATAATAGAGTTGTACTTTCTCCTACTAAAGACCCGAAAACACACATTAGTTCAAATGATCGCCACGATAAAGATGGAGGTAAATCAGGTTTATTCCTCAACATCAAGGTGCCCACAGGATTTCAGTGTAATATTTAGGATACGAGAATTTCAGACATATATGTGTGAGATATATATATATATGAGACATATATAAATTCTGTTGAAAGATCTCGCTAAACACCTGGAATTTATCCATAATGAATCGTTTCTTGAAGAATAAAAGTAATACGAAATGGACGTGGAAAATCACAATAGTTTTAAGAATGAAACTCAATTTCCGTTCTCGAACACAAGTCACCTGTATCATGATGTGTTAGTTCTCAGCCACTTGAGTAGAGCCAAACTTATTCAGGTTTTAGAAGGAATACAGTTCACAAAAAAAATTGAATTATTATAAAACTAGCTAAAACTGTTTACCACTGCACATAAATATTAAAAAAAAGAGGAAGTGTTTATTAACTTATAAAGGAAAGGAGAGATGAATCAGTGTAAATGTTCTCAAAATACACCTAACCAATAAAGGGTAGCCTTCACTCCTCCCTCTAGTCATTTTATATAACAATTTCTGCAAAACAGTGAACAAGTTTAAAATAAAACACCACTACAGGCAACCTAAAGAACAAATAGGTTTAAGATATACTCACATTATGTTACGTTATGTTATGTTATGTTATGTTATGTTATGTTACGTTATGTTTGCGTAAGCGTTAAAGTCTAGTAAGGTGGATGGTGATCCGAAAATAATAACACTACACCAAGGAAGACCTCGAGAGGGAGAGCTGATAAACACCCTTCATGACCACTACTCTGTAATCCTTATTTGCGCTACTGCTCACAGGATGAGTATGGGATGCACAGTAAACTATAGGTAGGCCTACTACTGTCTGTCTGCGGCAAAATTCATATTCAATTAGGAGAACTGAAGCGGCTCACTGGACAAAAGTAGCTAGATGTAGGTAAGGGATTGTGGAAAGTATATGGAGAAGCCTTCGTCCAGCAGTGTTGTGTGTGTGTGTGTGTGTGTGTGTGTGTGTGTGTGTGTGTGTGTGTGTGTGTGTGTGTGTGTGTGTGCCTAGTGACAATTAATTAGACAAATAAATGCATTCAAACCCAGGGCACCTAAACCTATCTAGCTTCAGATAGAATCCATAACAAAAATCACCACAGCGTCAGTATCATCGTCCACGTCATACTTACCACCAGTGTAAACAAAGCTCTCACCTGTGTGTCCGAGTCATAACATAACGACGGTAATAACATAACAAGTTGTGTCGTGGAGGAGAAGGAGGGACACCTGTTTTCCTGTGTCACCTGTGTACCTGGCGTCTTATCACAGCCCAGGATGTCCAAGGTTGTTTAAACGACCTTAGCTCAGCCTTTTAACTCTCTCCTGGGGTGTCTTGGCCGTTTTAATTGTTCCTCTGGGGTATTTTACTCATTTAAATGGTCCTCCGAGGTGTCTTGGTTGATTTATTGCTCTCCAATGTTATATGGCTGAGAGAGAACTTTCATTCTAGAGTCTTTTTAGTGAACGGACAAAATACTTGAACAACAAGGAAATGGATATGACGATCATTACCAAAATACGAAAATAGTTGAAAAATCCATGAAAACTTGGTTATTATATTTTATCAACAGAACCTAAGTTTAGTAGAACCAGTAATTAGAACTGAAACATAAGTTAATCGTCAGACTTTAAACTGTTTAGAGTCAGACATCAGAACTTAGACATAATAGTTGATCAACAGAATTTCGACGAAACAGTTACTCATCAGATCCTACAGGTTTATGGAACAGTTAATTACTTGAGCCTACAAGTACAGGAATTTACTGATAAAACCTTAAACAAATTGTCAACAGAGAAGCAAACATAAATAATTATCTCTCTATAATGGCCCCAAAGTTACCTCCATTCAGACCAGACTTTTTTGATAACTGACTCAAAGTCTCTAACGCTGTGACAACATTCTTTGTTGTGAAAACATCAGTTGACCCAAGGGTATGTCATCACACCGTGTTGTGCCACCCTCCTCGTGTCCCGGCGTTGTCATCCATAACTAAAATCGTCTATTTCTCTTTTCTCTCTCTTGTATTTATTTATTTTTTTTAAATACGCCGACGAAAAGGGGGAAATAACACACGGGAGAAAGTGAAGCGGGGATAGGAAAAAATATGTGGTAGAAGCAGTTTGGGGATAATATTTTAAGTGGCGCCTCGATGTTGTTTTGGTGACAGATGGAGATTCCCAAGGGTTGCCATCCTGGCTATGTCTGTGGCTTATGGCTGAGGCTGTGAGTATGGCTGTGGATATGGCTGTGTCTTTCTGTGGGTATGGCTATGGATACAACTGATTTTGTGGCTACTGCCGAGTCTTTATCTGTGCTTAGTGTCTGTGTCTATGATTTGTGGGTCCCTGTACCTCGTGTCTTCGTCTGTATTATTAACTTTTGTCAGTAATTCTTAGTCTGTGTATGTGAAGCCGACAGACAAGTGAGAAATCTATTTTTTTTTTCGTAAACATTATTGACTTAGAAATGAAAATTAGTATTGTAAGTATACATGAAAAATATTAAACACACACACACACACACACACACACACATTTAAAACACTCCTATATTCTCAACACTATCGTCACCACCACTCACTTTCACTATCATCATTATTATCATTATCATCCACAAACACCTGCTAGAGTCACTATCCATATTATCACCCTTATCACCCCTTCACAAGAAACTAGGTGTGGAAATCGTCACTACACATGAGGCAGGCAGGAAGGACTGGCTACCACCTCTACTGTGGCCTCTGATGTCATGCCGGGGTTGAGCCCACACACACACACACACACACACACACACACACACAGATAGACAGACGTGCACACAAAAGTACTATCACTGTGTATTATTAAGACACTTCGAGAAAATGTAAGCTAAGACAACAATAAATATCAGAACGATTTCATAGACACTGTATCGAAAGACCACTCTGAAATCTGAGTACTGTATTAAGTTCAAGATTTTTGATAATGGTACAATATATTACAATAGAGTAAGTGTAGATAAACAGTTCTCATTTTGTCATTACCATTATTAATCATGTATTCACTACAGGACAACTTCAACAGTGTCTTGGTGTACTAAATAACCGATAGAACATGTTTTGTAGTTCATATTACAGCAATAATTCAGTGAAAATGCTATTTAGATATTTTTTCAGTAATTATTATTAAGTAGTACAATAGAGTACATGCTTCTATTGGTACTATCTTTAGGGTACTGTAAATAGTTGTCTACTTTATGTACTTGATGTAGTACTGTACCATCGTGGTGAGTACATCTGTAATTCATCTACGCCTAATTCGTTAAATGGTTATGAATGAGAATTGTAAAGAAATATGTAATTCCTACAATGTTGTCGTGTTGGTGTGTGTTATATTCCACATTCACTATAGTAGAGCTGTAAACATTTTGTCTGTTATGATGCTCAAGGGTAACTATATTTAAACGAGGCGGCCTAAATTACCTCATTCGAGAGCCGTTGAGTTAGCTTATCGCTGCTTCTACCGGTCGCTTACACACACACACACACACACACACACACACATTTCTATTTATATATTTCTGTGTACTCTACTTCCTTTAACCATCTTTAAGGGTTAAGGGTCAGCCTCTCACATCTATTTCCATCACATTCTTTTATCTTCAGCCTTGAGTCTCAGTCCGCTGTTCTGTATGACCTTCAACCACGTCCCTCCATCATAACTTCTGTCATCTCCCCGATCTCTTCCCTATGACCTCCCACAGAACCAAGTCATCTCAGCCTTGCCTCTCTTGTCTAACTGCTTATAGATCTCATTCTTGATCTTGTTCCAATATCTTCTTTTCTCAAGCATCAATACACACTTTCTTCAAGGACTCTCTCAAGTCTTCTGTAGATTTACAGATTTACAAAAACAGTTTTCTGAAACACTTTGAATTTGATGCCTGATGTTGATAGCGTCTATTGTTACCTTTCTTTTCACCTATGTTCACTGTCTCCCTCTCAGTCTCTGCTCTACTAACCCCTCCATCGCCTCTATCCATCGTTTTCTTAGGGTATTTCATGAACGCCATCCTCCAGTAGCACCCACGGTCCCTGTTACCTTTCCGGTTGTAAATTCACCCTCACACTTTGGCTCCAGTCTTCCGGTATCTTTTTATCCCTCGACACTTTCCAGAACAGATCCGACTGACACCCCATCCTGCTCATCACCCCCCCCCCCAACATTTTCCCTAACTCCACTGTCGCTTCAGATGGTACACAAGCCTCCCCTCTCTTCATCCTATCTATCGCCGTCTTCGTTACCTTCTTCTCTTGCCATCTATTTTGCAATTGCTTTTATCTCGTTTCCTAATTTAGTAATATTTTAAAAGTATCTTTACACATACTTTTAATGTCTCTTTCCTATTATAAGGCGATTTCTAATTTCATACTGCACCCCTATAGACGGTTACATTTCTCTCTAGTGTCTATTGGTTGTCATGCTTCTCACCTAACTCATAATAACTACTCTCATCGTTTCGCTA